TTTTGGCAGCACTAGTCAAGAAATCAAAAGATGTGGTGCATTGAAGAGATCTGCTGTCCAGGGTCTGTTGTTAAGTGCCAGCGAGTCATAGATGATTCATAGTGACCCTATGAGCGAAAGATCTGAACACTTTTATAACTTTCATCATTTCTCTAAGTTCACAGTTACTAGAGGCAAGCTATTTCGGAAGTGGTTGCCACTCCTACTTCTAAGCCTGTTTTAATCAGGGAGCTCCACCAAACACTGTCCTCCATGGGTAACCATTATCACATTTGACACATCAGTATCACAGCAACCACAAGTTACCTCTGTACAGACAATTGACAGACCAGTGCTATACCACTTGGAAGAATGTTTGACCAAAAATAATTAAAATCAGGCTTGAAAAAAACAAAACAACCAGACTTGAGGGCTGCAGATTAAAATCACCCACCTTTGGCTTGGTAGCATTACTTTCTATCCACAAGGCCAACAGAGCTCTCTCTATGGCCATAGCAATTCTGTGAACAACAGGTCCCATCCTTGCCATATCCAATGCCATTTCCACAATCCAAGGCATGCTTGAGCCCGTCCCTGTCATCATCCATGAGGATCTTCTTTTCTTCTCTGACCTATCCCAGGAAATCTTCACTGACAGCAATATGCTCTCTCGTATCCAGTCTTTCACTTCCCAAGGCTCCATGGCACTGCCGCTACCCCCCACCATCATCCTCTGCCATCTGCCAGCTATGTGGGGCCTCTGTTGCCCAGGCTGTGGTGTCTGGCGCCTGCCGCTTGATCCTGCTGAGGGGACCCATGGGCTCAGACCATGGCAGCCCCACAGTGTCGTAGTGGCATGGGCCCAGCGGGCGGCTGGCAGAAGCAGGACTCACCCATGTTTTTTGAGAATCTTTGTCCTCTTGATGTTGAGCCTCAAGCCATGATGAAGACCTGTAGTCAACTGTTTAACTGTTCAAATATAGATAAACTGCTGGCTGTGGAGAGCCATGGTGATCCCTTTCAATGCTCTTGCCATGCCTACTGCTCTTCACGCTGCTTCCCCCATCGCTGCCAACTTGGTTCCCAATCCCATTTTTTATTTTTAGTGTTTTAGTTGTTATGTGCTATTGAATCACCAACAACTTGCCGCAACCCTGTGAACAATAGATCTGAACTTTGCCATATCTTGCATCTCTTAATGGAGATTATCTCCACAAATAAAGCTCCTTGGGGAGAGTAGTAATCTGTGTTTTATACTCTGAAGACTTCAAGTTTGAGAATTACTAAGATGGCACAGTCAGATTTCCATACAGCGTTTAAGGAAAAGTAAAAAATTGAAAAGGAGATGGCTTAATGTATGATTAAGACTTTAAGGTTAATGTATAAGGGACAAAAGAGCAAAGGAATAGTAAAAGGTTTGAATAAAAGATGAGTAATCCACAATGAAATTTTAGTTGTTGTTGTTGTTGTTGTTGTTATGTGCCGTCAAGTCGCCTGCGACTCATAGCGACCCTATGTACAACAGCCCTAAACTCCGCTCTGTCCTGTG